TCCAACAGCACAGCAATTCACTCCAACAGCACAGCAATTCACTGGGTCTCTCTGGAAAAACATTGAATCAGGCAGTTTCGTTGTTATGCCACCTCGAGGAAGTGAAACGCATCTCCGGCTGGGCAACTACAACAGCTCGCAACAGCCTATTGCCGTATGCTAGTCGCACTCAGTAATGAGTGCCTGGCCCAGAGAAGTCTCGATCTCTGGAAGTGGAACACGTTACTGTCTACATTTTGAAAATGTTCTATGCAAGTCTCTCACGTGCACCTGGAGTTCTTCGCGCACTCCCTGGACGTTTATTCCGCACGGACTGTCCAGTATAAAAGTAGAAGGAACGTACCCTGGGTACGGTCCGGTATACCGGAACGTACCCTGGTACTATCTAATATGCCGGACCATACCTCGCCTACTCCACTAACGAGTCTAAGGAGTCGCCTACGCCTACTCCCTAATCCTATCAAATAGTGACCAGGGTACGTTCCGGTATACCGGACCGTACCTAGGGTACGTTCCGGTAGTACCCTGGCCTGGGGGACATAGACCCTATGAGCTACACTTACAGTAGGCCTAACTAACAATAACATTGACATTGTTAATGTTATGCTACTGTTAGTGTTACTGTTACTGTTAGTGTTAGTGTTACTGTTCGTAGCGCATCACGTCAATGCTTTGATACGCTGTACGTATGAGATTACGTAGTTAACCACTTGGTTTTTCACTTGTAAATGCATATGAACTTTTAAAGCAGTATCATAGATATGTGATAAGAGCATGACCTGCTGGCAATAAACTAGGAAACCGGAGATTATAAACTCAAAGTTATCCTACATGTTAATGAACGGCGAAGTTCGTCCGCTAACAGTTCGGATGCTCTATACAGAGTACAAGAGGGCGTATTTTTGAAATCTGGCGTAGATTGGCTCCAATCTCCCTAGAAGATGGCTGCTATTCACTTCGTTTTAAAGTAACAAGGCAAGAACCCAGTCTAACTTGGTCGAAACGAGGCGATCGCAGCGTGACACATTTTGTACAATGGCTGATGCATTGGGAGATGAGTGGTGGTTAACGAATGACGGTACAATACACTCGTATTAAGCGCTTACAACTAATTAAATGCTACAGATAGCGAGTTAGGATTGAGCAGCTTAAGATTACATTCACGTGCACTGCAAAGCGTCAATGAGCTTTTCACTATAACGAGTAGGAACAAGTTGAAGTTGCATATCATATATGTAAGGCCGATGAAAGTTGATGTCATGGTTCTCGTCAGCGCCCGCATCAAATTTACTCGCGCACCTAATAAAAGTTCAACAGCTCATCGCTGAACGAAATTCGCGCCGCATCAAAAGTCGGCCCATACTGAAATTCCCGCGCCTCAAAAATCAACAATCTACCAGTCAGGCACTACATGTATGGAAGACAAACAGTAAAAATTTGAGTAAAAACTGTCAACAAAGAAGTTATGACATTTTTCAATCTTATTTTGCATATGTAGCAGACACTGATACCCTCACTAAGTTCTATTGGTTTGTAGATGAAAGATGAATGTTGATCTAAATCCCTCATCAAAATCTCAACAATGCCTGACGAGAACCATTAAATCAACTTTCATCGGCCTAACTAAGAGTAAGAGTAAGAATCAAGATTATAAATATAAGTCTGTACTGTAGATACAATAATGTAACCCAAACCCAAGAGGATAGGGATATCTATTGGGTTTGGGTTACATTATTGTATTTAATAAGTCTGCTACGTACAGTCACACTGGTCACTGCACTTGGAACGGGCGCAAATCCACTTTAGGCACCTTAGGCTTAAGCCCGGCGCACACGTGAGTTATTTTACTCAAGTAAAATGACGCATGAGTCAAATTACTCAACGAAAATCCGCCACTCACGTGTGCGCCGGGCATTATGTATCACGAAGTGATGCACAGAAATCTGTGTATCATCAACTGATGCACAGACTTTCCGTATATCAAGGAATGATGCAAAAACCCTAACCCTAACCCTAAGTCATAAAGTATAACCTTAGCCCTTAGGTATCACGAAGTGTGTTAAGGATACTCTCCACGTTGTGCATGAAATTTCATCGATTTTTCGTTTTCAACTTTATTCGATGGCTAACACTATGTCAGGGCTCGAATTAACCGACGGCACCGACGGCAATTGCCGTGGCTGCCCCTATCAATCGCCGTACTGCCCCTGAAAATTCAACCCGACCGACGGCAGTGACCTGCCTTGCCCTTTTCTGTAATTGCCGTCGGTGCCTCTGGCTAGATTGGTTCGCGGCCGCACTGTTTGTCGCAGAGCGTGTACATTGTCTAGCAGAGCGTGAGGCCGGATACCAGTCTACCCTTCGGCAAAAACAATAACGTGGCTGCCCGTGGTTGAACACGAATATTTAAATGCTGCACGTGGACTCGGCCCGCGCGCGATTTAAAGCGCGGTAAACGACGCTCGCGCAAGAATGGCCAGCTTGTACGGTGTGTAGCTTGCTAGTTAGTGCAGTAAATTTAGAGAAATTTTAGTAGAATTCATACGATGACACAAGGTTTTTCATAACAATGGTCTGGGTCTGGGCTAGTGAAAGTTAGGTCAGGGCTAGTGGTTTTCCTCAGTTACTAGCCCGATGGTCTAGTGAAATAAAAAGTTAATGTTGAACCCTGTTACTGTACTTCGATCCATTAGCAGAGGGGGTACAGGGGTCGGTGTTACGGTGTTAACTTACATGGGGGCGGAAGACGATGTACATGTGGGCGGGAGACGGTCTGTACATACACGGTAAAATTTTTATTAATTTGTTATGAGTTTTCCTTTATTTTACAAAAGTGCCTTGGTGCCCTTCTCAAATTGTGAGAGTTGCCTTGATGCCTTTTAAAATTGCCTTGGTGCCCATCCATTTTAGAGAAGATTCAAGGCAATTTCTCACATGCCCCCAAAAAATTGCCTTGCCCCTCTCGTCGCTTAATTCGAGGCCTGCACTATGTGCCACCTGTGTACATGCTAATTTCGTCATATAACGGTACATGTGAACTGTCAGAGCGTTTTTGCTTGCTCGCGTACATGTGTAGTAAGCAGCGGCTGACGTCATTATGACGTCAGAGACATGATACAACCACGATATTTACTAAGCCGGTATCATTAAGCGTCAACCCTGCTACAGCTGTCATTACATGTATTCATGTACATTCATGTACATCTGCTAGTGATCCAACAAGTATCCCACGCCCAAAATAGTTCTAACACCTCGCAACACACCTTACTATAGTGTGGTACATCGCGTGCGTTTGTTGACATATTAGCTTTGTGACGTCAGGATGAGCGGAGTTCGAGCGTTCTGCGATGGTAACCTCGAAATTTCTCAGAATTTCTCAAGGTCCATGGAACATTTTACCAATTTAGTGGTGTCAGTTAGTCATGGATATGTCGCAGTAAGTACTAACAATAGATATATCACATACGTTCACCCATTTTGCACACTCATTGTGAAAAATAGAAAAACGCTGATTTCTCCGTTTCGATTTCTGACATAGTAGCCGATGTATAAATGGATATTTCTCTGTGATTACAACTCGGATTAATTTAATTTTACACTCGTTTTAATGGTAACATATTGTGGTAAAAAAGCGCGTCAGGGATTGTTATTATATTAAGTGCCATACTTTATTAGTTATGCCTCTTTATTCGCTAAAATTTTCTATTTTAACACACAACTTGATTTTTAAGCAGTTTTTTTCGAGTTTTCTCGGTAAATATGAAAATTAAAGAAAAATCCTGACGCGCTATTTTGGTCCATATTGTGCTTAACATGTGGCAAAAATTTTGTATCCTCACTCTTTCTGGTAGTTGAGAAATATCCAAAATACCATTTTTAGTATTTACATAAAAATTCAAAATTTGTGTGGTAACATAATTAGGTGCTGGAAATTTCATGGAATTTTTTGGCTTGAGCATAGAGATATATCTTCTCTATAAATAAAACAAGTGATTGATTTGATTCATTCGCCAATAAACGTTTAATCTTCATTAGAGCAATACCCGTGCACAACGTGGAGAGTATCCTTAAGCTTAGGGTTAGGGTTAGGGTTACTGATTAGGGTTAGGGTTACTGTTAGGGTTAGGGTTAGGGTTTTTGCATCATTCCTTGATATACGGAAAGTCTGTGCATCAGTTGATGATACACAGAAATCTGTGCATCAGTTGATGATACACAGAAATCTGTGCATCACTTCGTGATACCTAAGGTGCCTAAAGTGGATTTGCACCCTTGCAACGTCTCAATAAAAAAAGGGTAAATAAACACGAAATGTATTTACTACCAAAGTCATGTTTCTCTACTTTCTTTTACCTATTAGTATTACTATTAGTATTATTGCCGATAACTTCCTGTAAATGCCGTTCAAATGCTCCTCTCATCTGCAACACACGACTACACCGCACGCACGCACGCTGCTGTGCGCAAACAACACATAACACACAGTAACACACTATTAAGTATTGTTGTTGTTGTTGTTGTGATTCGTATCTCCTTCTTCACGAGTACGTGGTCTGACTGGTATAGCTTGTTTCTTTGTAGCTATAGTCTCTCGCACGGTGTTATCTCGTTGTATAGTTAAAAACCGCCGGAACGAGACAAGTTGCGCCAAGCTTGTACTGATGTTCTTTAAGCATTGTGTGGCTCGTTCTGATGCGGTTGACTTTGCATTCAGTTGCTCTATCTGTATTGCTGCGCACGCTTTTAACTGTGACTGAGGGCTTGTTCTGGTAATAGGTTCTTCCTGTTTGCGATATATCCCATATTACTACCCTACCCTACAAAGAGACAAGCTATACCAGTGAGACCACGTACTCGTGAAGAAGGAGATACGAATCACAACAACAACAACAACAACAATACTTAATAATGTGTTACTGTGTGTTATGTGTTGTTTGTGCACAGCAGCGTGCGTGCGACCGATGTTGCCATTTCCGTATAACTGCTTTCCTGATCTCTCCTTTTGCCTCTGACAGAGACAGGGGTGTCCGCTAACTCGTTCGCTAACATTCCCGCATGACCAGCAACCCTGCAAATGTCGACGTCAATTTCCTTGTCATAGAGCTGTTTTACACGTTCAAGGATGTCCGTAGTGAGCGATGTAAAGTTGTTATCCTGGGTCGAATTTGATACTGTCAGGGTGGCACTTTGACAGTCTGAGAAGATTCTAATGCCTGCAATGTGGTGTGTAGTGGAGTAGTTTACGGTTAAGTCAACTGCCAAGTAAATTGCATAGAGTTCTCCATGGTAACTACTACTTTTCTTGGACACAGCTTTCCTGATAGAGGTTGGTTGACTGTCCATTCCGTTCGCGTAGATAATGGCAGATGCTCCACACAGGCCAAGATTACCGAGTGCTGATCCGTCAGTAAAGGCGATGATCCAGTTATGGGTCTCGCTGATCTGTTGTTGTGTGATATTCCTGGCCTCGGAGGCTTGTAAGTTGTATGGATGTTCTGGTCTTACTGTTTCCTAGTGTTTGCCAGGTGTTGGTGGCTCTTATAACGATGGATGAGTGCATACGTTCCGTCAGATACACTGGTTCGTGATCGACCTGCCTCGGGTCGAACTCTCTGCACAAGTCTTTCATGGCCATTTTCATCTGGTGCAGCGGCGTGAGGATACGGTGGTCCATGTAGCTCCTGTCATCCCGGTGCTGCAGCACCATGGACCTAAGATGGTTGGTGTGTGGCTTCCTATGGATGCGTATAAATTCCTGTGCCAGTATCTCCTCGTAGCTTATTCTGAGCGGTGGTACGTGGGTCATCACCTCCAGAGCAGATGCGGGTGTCGAATTTAGGGTCTCTGATGCCCTGAGGAGTGCAATCTGCTATACCCTCTCCAGTTTCCGAATTTGGTCTTCGGAAGCACAGCACCAAAATGGGTATGCAAATTCGAGTAGGGGGCGGATACAAGCCTTGTATAGGGAGGCCCCTATTTCCATCTTTAGGCCCCCAATATTGGCCATCAGTGCACTGATTTTGGTTAGTGCCCCCATTGCTCTCCTTGCTGTGTTATCCGTGTGTGTCACGAATGTCA